TGAATGCATTGATGCACAGATCTATCTGATGTGGTCTCTTTCAATGAAAACACATTTCTGGCAGCTGAATCCTGAATCAGAGAGATGCTTCTAACTAAGTTATTTGTGTTTAAAGCCTTTTTATTTTTCTGATAGTTTTACTCAACTGACCAGTTTTGTGTGGATTTAAATTATAAAGTCATCGGAGGCTAATTGAGGATACAAAAGTTTACTATCTGTGGAATAACCCAGTGTATCAATGTTTCCCTCACTGACAATATGAGTAACAATGAAGGGAAAGCAGCAAAGGTTAAGAATCGATTTGTTTCATTCGTGTCACCAGGGCTCAGTAAACTCAGGACAAATGTCAGCTGTTATCAGACGGTTCTGTAGAAATGTCTCTGTCAGATTGGCATCACTTCGCAGGTGATAGACTGAGGAGGCGGTTCATGGATGTGGGGATGTTCTTACTGTTATCAGGAGGTGTGAAGGTCACGGGGACTCTGAAGGCCATCGCAGTGATGGACACTGTGGACTCTCATTCAAACATCAAGGTCACCAGAGCCCAAAGACAGAGATAAGTGATAATGAACAAACCTCAGACATCAGAAAGGAAATGAATCTCAGTAGGTTGATTGACGTTCTTTGCAGCAGTGATGGTGGCAGAAACGGAAACCACGCCCAAACAGGAACACACCTTCACCAACTGGCAGAGAATTCAAACACTATTTGTACTATAATTAAATAAAAGAAAGAGGAGAGGATAGAAAAGACAAGAAAAGGGAAGGAGAGAGGGGGAGAGGGAAGAGAAAAGGAGATGGAGAAGAGACAAAAACAGTAAAAAATTAAAACTGCAAAGGCTCATGACTCCAAGTAGCTTTCAAAATATACCAGACCACTAAATTAGAGGATGAAGTAGATTGTAGACTGATTACTGTTATATTTGTTCCGATATTTTTGGGGCATTTCTTTTGACAGGACAGTTCAAGTGTGAGAAGAGAGAGTGGGGAGAACACAACAAAAGGCCTGGACAGAGCCGAACCTGTGGCCACTGCAGGAGGACTCAACCCACCATATTATACTACACGTTATCATTATTATTACTTCATCAACTTAAAGCAGACAAAAATGTATTTGTAATACAAATTTAATATTAGGCCTACACAGGACACATGACCAACATCTAGTGCTTTTACTGGGCTGCAGCTAGTTAAGATGAAACGCTCGTCAGAGCCCAATGTGACAGCTTCATACTGCATTTAAATTTTTAATGACAAAAGACAAAGAGAAACTTGGCAGCCTCTTGCATTTTAGAATCTGGGATAAGTGGAAAAAAACA